CTCCTTGCGACCTTCTTCCCTGTGCCTCCTCTGGTCTTCAGATCTCTCTCTCTCTCTCTCTCTCGATACAAGTCATTGGATTTAGGGCTCACTCTAATCCAGTATGACCACATCTTAACATGACTACATCTGCAGAGGAGACCTATTTCCAAATAAGTTCATAGTCACAGGCACCAGGGGGTAGGACTTGAACATATCTTTCCAGGGATACAATTCAACCCATAATGTGTCCCCAGTATATATGAGTCAAAGAGGTCCCGCCATACTTTATTTGGCCCAAACCCTACCCACCCACTTTCCGTGATCTAGCTCAATATCATTCACTATCTGGAGCGGTGATTGATGTCTTTCGTGAACTGTCTGACCGGGTCTGGCCATCATCAGTACCGAAGTGGCAAGTATGCTTTCAGAAACTTCCAGAGCAATTTGACATTGCCATGACATCCCAGCAGGTATTCACTGGGCTTACCTTGTTCTAAAGGAAACGGGTGGGGTTGAATGCTGTCTCACTTAGCTGGTGAGTCACATGTGGCATGAGCTGTATATTGGCCACAGCATGGGTAAGAAAGTTTTAGCTTTGCTCACCACAGATCATTTGAGATGCACTGATGTGGCTAAAAGGCTGTGAATGGTCACAAATGGGGAAAAAAAGTTGACCATCTTCCACTTTTCCCCATGCATTTTATGTGAACCCCAGTCACCACTCCAACCTGTGGCTCCTAAACACAGAATTGTTGTCTAGAACTAAATGTTCTAGAAATTTAAAATTTTTCCCTTTGTCTTTTTTTAAAATATATTTTTATTGCTTTCAGAGAGGAATGGAGAGGGAGAGGGAGAAACATCAATAATGAGAATCATCCATCAGCTGCCTCCTATATGGCCCCTACTGGAGATTAAGCCCATAGCCTGCCATGTGCCTGGACCAGGAATCAAACAGTGGCCTCTGGTTCATAGGTCGACAATAACTGAGCCACACCAGCTGGGCAAAATTTCCCTTTTTCCTTTTGAATAACACAATCTACATTAAACTTCCAGTAAAACTTTCCAGGAAACAGAGTATGTTCATTGCTTGCAAACAACTTTGTGATTTTGTAGACTTGGGCTGCTTTGTTTCTAGACACAGCATATCAGTTAGGATCATTTCAAATGGCTTTAGTGACATAAAAGAATGTTTTTGAAAAGTGAGATATGGAGTTCGTTATGTTCCTTTGTTGTTTCCACCTGCTGGACACATTTGCTATTAATGATGCTATGGCTTTTCCTGCATTTCCAACTTCTACTTCCAAATATTTGTGCATTACAGCAAAGATATTAACTCCAAGGAAGTTGTCGCTTTGAAAAACTGCTTTTTACATAGAAAAATCATATTAGTTAACTCATAGTGAGTTATTAGTCTGAGGGAAATAAAGAATAACATCAAAATCTAAAATTAGCTTGCTTTTTTAAGAATGGTTGTATGTTGCACTTAGGTTTGAATAGCAACTTTTGTTTGCTTTGTTATTTTATTTTGGTATTGTTTGACTTTTTACTAAACTGTGGCTACAAATAAATATATACCAGTAGATCAAATTGTGAAAAATGATATAAAAGATATTAGCCTTCTACTGCGCACCCCTAGTCTTCTAACAGCGACTCTAGAGACAGTTTGCTGGGTGTCCTTTCAGAAAGAGCGCGAGGTGCACGTGTGTGTGTCCAGCATTATATGTATATCGCCCAAAGCACAGCCAATGGCAGCAGACTGTGCCTGCCATTCACTCCCTACTTGCTCTGAGTTTATCTTGGAGATCGTTTCATGCCAGCGGTGGCACTCCTCTAAGGTGACCCCAGTGAACCCCTCCTATGCGCAGTCCCTCTCACATTGAGTTGGGCTGTCCTGTATACCAACGAGACATTGCAGAAATGAAGTATGATTTCCAAGACTAGCTCATAAAAGCATCGTGGTTTCTTCCTTGATATTTCTCAGATCACTCGCCTTAGGGGAAGCCAACTGCCATATTGGGAGGGCACTCAAGTAGCCCTAAGAAGAGGCAAGGAATGGAAACATCCTGCCCATCACTATATGAGTGAGTCACTTTGGAAAGGGATCTTTCAGTCCCAAGAAGGTCTTCAGATAACTGCAGCCCCCATCAACATTTTATCTGCACCCTCAGGAGAGACTTTGAGTCAGAACCATCCAGCTAAGCTACTCCCAAATTCTGACCACAGATAATTTGACAAATTACTCGTAGCTTTAAGTCACTACATTTGGGTAATTTTAGATAACTAATATATACCATAATATGTCATTTTTGTTAGTAATTGCAAAGGCTGGTAACAACAACAACACAACTATCCTAAAGCACGATGACTTAAATAAAGATTGTTTTCCTCCCATAAATAGTTAGAGATGGGAGGCCCAGGTGGCAGGAAAGCTCTGTGCCACATTCTTTCAGGCCCAGGTTCCTCTGCCTGTTCTGCCCTCCCCTACGGCACTGTCATCATCCGTAAGATCAAAGTCAACTGCCATCCTGTCTGTAGCCCAGCTCACAGAAAGGGGAAAATAAGGATGTTCAAGGCAAGCAAGCTTCTTATAAAGAAAACTAGAGGCCTGTGTATGAAATTCTTGCCCTGGGGGTGGGAGGATCCTCCAGCCTGGCCTGTGCCCTCTCACGGTGTGGAAACCCCATGATCGATTGCCCCAAAGAGGTTAGCCCCGCCCATTCATCCTGGGCTCCTTGATGGATTTCCCCAAAGAGGTAGGCTGGAGCCGGGGGTCCCGCCTCCGCACTGCGCAGGACCCCCCAGGCCTCACCACACAGAGCCGCCGGGATCCACCTCTGCAAAGCGCACACAGTGTCAAGTCCCCACCCATCTGCGCGTGCCTCCCCGCCCATGTGGCCTCCTGGTAATGGATTGTGACAGCGTGAGGACGTGAGGGCGTGAGGGTGTGGTGACCATTTGCATATTAGCTAGGATATATTATATATTATATATATTAGCTAGGATTATTATATAGGATAATATGAAAGCTGCACTCATCTCATCTGGGAAGCAGTTGATCACGTGGCCACCACACAAGCTGCACAGAAAGCTGGGAAATTCTTTTTTAAATATATTTTTATTGTTGATAGTATTACAGATAACCTTTGTTTAGCTGCATGTACTTTTACTTAACCAGTTATGATTGATGACCACCAGAGATAGGTCTCCTAGGCTTCTGTAACAAATTACTCTTGGAATGAATAATCTAGAAAGAAAAGTCAACATTGCATTACAGCTGTGAGAAATCTACACAAAGTGATCAGGCAGTGCAGTGCACAGTTTGAATGCTTGTGGTCTTCGAGGTGTGAAAGAAAATGACCTGTATCTGGGCGCAAACATGGGCTCTATGCCAGCAGTGCAAAGTGTCAAATTCAAATCAACACATGTCACAATTTCTCAATGAATATTCTTTTCACCTCCAATTTGTTACATGTGTAAACTCCAGAGCCTATCCACCTATGACCATGGTTCTCAAAGTGTGGCCCTTGGAAATCCATCAGCCCTGCCTGTAAATTTAGAACTACAAATCTTTATGTCCCATCCCAGACTTACATGATCAGAGGCACGGAGACAGGGCCTAACCATATGTGTAGTTAACACACGTGCCAGGGGAATCTGTTGCCTGCTACAGTTTGAGAACTGCCAATGTGAGATGAGAGCAGCATATGCCACTTACTAGCTCTAGCTATGAGACTGTAGGCAAGTCACCAAAACTCTGCTTAATTGCTCATCTATGAAATAGGAATAGGAATAGTATTTATCATTGTTATGGTGAACACTAAAAGTGCTAAAATCTATAAAGTATATAATCAGCAACCAAAAATACTAAATATTATTGTTGTTCTTGTTATCTTTATTTTACTAAATTTTAATTTCACCAGTTTGTGGTCCAAAGAGAGGTCATGACTTTTATTATACAAATGAAATGACTCTGAGACACAATGTCTTTCTTCCCTCCTTGGGGCCATTCCATCCTCCAGTCACTCCAATGCTTTCTGACATTTGGTGGTCAATGACTCAGCAGCAGCCAAATAAGCTGACTGAACACTTTATGTATAGAAATGAATGAATAACAAGTCTACAGGAGTGTTAAGTAGAAACCTAAGCCCAACCACAATGGACAAATATTCTAAAAGTGTTTTGTTTTGTTTTTGTTTCATTTTTATCTCTCACTTTTATCAAGCAATATGTTAGGTCCTGGAGAATTAGGAATAATATCAAGAATTCCCAGCACTGGCATGGGTCCACCTAGGAGACCTGGAAACTGGGAGACATAACAGACAGAGTGCTCTGCCCGCTGTAAAAAGCCACATATTCTAGTATAACCCTTTCAGCATGATCTGTGACCATCAAGGCTGCCTCCCAAGAAGGTGACCTCAGGCACAATGAACAGTGGAGGCTAGTTGCAATCTTCCCTTTACCAAAGCACTGTCTACGGTGAAGCATCTGTCCTTCCAGCTTTGACAGTGGGGTAGAGGTCTGCGGGTCCTTCTGAGCTGCATGATAATAAAGACAGCTGCTGCCAAAAGTATTACCTGGGTTTGAGAAATGAGTTATCTTTACACCCAGTCACATCAGGGCTATGGCTACTGCTTTAAGGCTTTGAGTTTTGTACAGGCAATAAAATCTCTGACATTTCTCTAGGCATTATTTTTTCTGATATATCTCCTCAGGCAAGACAAACAAATGAGAAATAAATAAAGGGATTACTTCAAACTAAAAAGTTTTTGCACAGCAAGGGAAACTATCAACAAAACAAAAGGATAACCACTGAATCGAAGAAAATATTCACCAATGACACATTTGATAAGGGGTTAGTATCCAAATTTTTTAAAGAACTCATTAGAGAAAGACAAACATCACATGATCTCACTTAGATGTGGAATCTTATGAACAATATAAACTGATGCACAAAATAGATCTAATGACATTGAAGCATGCAACAAACTGGCTAATTTCAAAGGGAGAGGGGTCTGGTAGGAAGAGATTAAACAAAGAACTTCTATGCATAATGCATAACCCATAGATAGACAATAGTGGGGTAGAAGGCCTGAGGAGGGGACAAAAGTGGGCTTGAGGGAGTCAGTGGGGGAAAAACAGGGGACATGTGTAATACTTTCAACAATAAAGATAAATTTTAATAATAATTTTAAGCAGAAAAAACATGTTTAAATTGAGTCTCATTCTAATAGAAAAAGACATGAGGTTAAAAAGAATTTTTTTTGCCAGTGTTATTCACCCTTTTGATTTTTTACAATATTTTAAGGTAGTAATGTTTATTTGGGTTGTTGTTGTTTTTTTTAAATTCCTCTCCCCTGTTTCCCTCCCTTTTGGCAACCATCAGCTTTTCTTTATACCTATGGGTTTGTTTCTGTTTTGTTTATTCACTTATGATTTTTTATTCCACATATAAGTGAAATCATATGGTACTTGCCTTTCTCTGACTTATTTCACTGAGAATAATACCCTCTAGTTCCATCCATGTTGTCATAATGGCAAGATTTCTTTTTTGTTATGGCTGAGTAATATTCCATTGTTCTATGTACCACATCTTCTTTATCTACCTGTCTATTGCTGGACATCTAGACCACTTCTATATTTTTGCTATTACTAGTAATGCTATAATGAACATAGGGGTGCATAATAAGTTACTAAGAATTTCTTTTTGTCAGACTTTATGCTGAGCACTTTACATTGAACAGCTAATTTTTTCCAACCATAAATCAATAAAGTATAGTAATGTGATAGTAATAATAAATAATGATATTATTTATAATAATTGCAGCAAAATAATAATAGCATATGCACTTGCCACTATAGTGCTATGTCTAATCTCACAAAATCTTGTTATCGAGGTTCTACTATAATCTCCATTCCACAGATGGGTAAACTGAGATGCAGAAAGGGTAACCGTTGCCCAAAGCCACACAACTAGTCAGTGGCAGAGTTGGAACTTGGGCCCTCAATTTTTCACCAACTCAAAACCATATAGATATTGCATCATAAAATGAAGATGCCAATGTTCAGTTTCTCTAGAACCATGGGGTGGATCAACAATGCTGATACCATTGTTTTCTCCAGGCAAAATGATACCAAATGGGAGGTGCCTGCCTGGTTGGAGAGAGGTGGAAGCTCCCAGTGAGCTACGTGGCCAGCCCCGTGGCTGTAGGAAAATGAGGGGTGTCCCCAAAGTGAAGAATGCCTCCATTATAAGAGCTTTAAAAACTGCCGTCAGCACCTTCCAGAAGACACTCAGTTGGGTAATAATTTTTTTTTAAGTGGAGGCTTTTATGGCCTTCAATTATGTAACAAGTGAGTTATATTTAAAGGTATCAAAACATTATTCCACATGTGAACTGAGGAGGCTGGCAGTCGTAACTGGTCTACATATTAATATTTTTGAGCCCCTGGGGGAGAAATGCCTGTGAGCTGATTTCCAATGGGGTCAGTCACAGGTAAGCAGCTGTCTAATGACCTGAGGCAGAAGGGAGCGGGTGTGACAACTGTCACTAACCCGCCACCCGCTAGGTGTCTGCTCCTGGGGAGTCTTTCCCAGCATTGGTCCTGGTCTTTACTGAAGTGTTCTAGTTGGAACCTTATTAACCCCGTTTTATAAATGAAAGTGAAACAGGGAGAGAGTAAAGGACATGTCCAAGGTCTGACTGCCTTTAGGTTAAGGGACCAAACTCGGGTTCAAACTAAGGTTTGTGCTTTTGAGAGCCAGGGCGTCTTTCTTAAAAGGGAGCATAGGAGAAATCGTAGGGTTTGAAGGCTCAATTGCCAGGGAAATGACTATTTTCTTTGCACAATGTCATGTTTAGGTAGAGATGTAACTTTTTGTAGAAGGGAGACAAGTTGAAGGCTTGCTGTTCTGGGACTACCTATGCAAAGACAGGCTAATGAGAAAGACTAAGGCAAAACTCTTCTGGGTACCAAGTCAGGAGAAGCATTTGTGTGTTTATCTTCATATCTTGGTGTTTTATGCCAAGGTGGTGTAGAGTACATGCTCCATAAATATTCACTCCATTGGCTTGAATTTTGTTCTAGTTTCCAAACTCCATAGGTGGAGGCAAAGACATGGTAAGTTCCTTGACCCCTGGGAGAATGGCATGTCTTTGGTTCCCACTTTGCCCTCCAACGCATAATGGTGAACATGTAGCTGCTCAAATCAGTTAAATGAACACAGACCCCAAAGGGAGCGCTGTTGTAGTGAGCTTGAAATTCAATGTCTGCATTTTGGGAGACCCTGAAGGACTGAGTTGGACATTGACACCAACCTAGACCAAAATAGTAGCTGTTTTCCTGGAAATTTTGAGTAAGTAAGATTGAGGGGATAAAGACTACTAGAAATTAAATTTTTAAAAATAAGAATGTTTACTGCAAATCTATATACATAAAGAAGAAATAATGTAAGCCAAAAACATTCCTTCTTGGAATCTTAAAATTATAATTGCTGTATTCACTCTTATGTGCTTATTAACTTGAACAAGTGGCCAGAAACTTCTTTAGGAGATTCGTCTTTTGAGGGGAGGGGTTAGGGATGTGGTTTTGATTTGTTTTCCTAGAACTGCTTTTTCTGTGGTCACAGGATTCTAGTAATATAGGGAGTTTGGGGCAAAGGTGTCTCAGAAATCAGAGGGAGTCTGTAGATCATCTTAGCAGAGGAAGGGGACTGTGGGAAGCAAAACAATGGTTCCCCAAACATAACCATCTCCAAATCCCCCAAGTCTGTGACTGTGCTCCCTTCCTATGGCAGAGGGATCTTGCAGATGGTGTTAAATTAAGGGTCTTAAGATGGAAACGTTTTCCTGGATTATCCAGGAGGGCTCAGTGTAGTCACCAAGGTCCTTTAAGATGGAGTCAGGGATGTGATGATGGAGCAGAGGTAAGAGGGATGAGGTTGCTGACTCAGAAGGTGGAAGAGGCCAAAAGCTGAGGGATGTAGACCGCTTGGAGGCTGAGAAAGACAAGGGACAGATTCTCCCCCTGAGCCTCCAGAGGGACTAGTGAGACTTCTGAGCAGAAGTGTCGCATGATACCCTGTGTTGTTTAAGCCTAGTTTGTGGCCATTTGTTACAGCCGCCACTGGAAACTAACACGGGACTAAGCTCCTTGTCAGGAGCCTCTGCCAAAGAAAGGGGCATTTCCTGTGTTGCTGGGGTCCAGCCCCAGCGGGTCCAGGGGTTCCCAAAGGTGTGGACGGAGTCAGCGAAGAATGAAGGACACGGAGTCAGTGTTCAGGTGATCATCATAGCCAGGTTCCTCTTTTTTATTGTCATCTAACATCTGTATTTATACTATTTGGTCCCAATCCTATCCATTCTATACAAAAGGCCAGGGGGCTTCCCATCTCCATTTCAAATGTTACTCTATTGTTCCACTAAGCTACAAGGAAGTAACTGAAGGAGGTCACTCCAAGCAAAGACCTAAGCGACCCACCACCACTCTGGGGAAACAACCTTTCTCAGGGAGGTGGTCCTGTTTAAAACACATAGCTGTTAAGAGGGGGGCAAACATATTAAGAACAGTATGCCATATATGCGGGGTCCCTCGAAACATCCCTGCAGCGACTGCCTCAAGCAGCCAGGGTGATCGGCTTCCAGCACTGTGTGAGCTTAAGAAACGTTCCAGCCGATCGGAAGCACGTGTGGCATCCTTGTCTACTTAGGATTCACCTTGGGCTTCAGCACTGTTTCATTTTGGACAAGAAAGTCCTCGCTGGGATGGGGCTGTCCAGTGCATTGTCGGATGCTTAGCAGCATCCCTGGCCTCGGCCCAGTAGATGCCAATGGTAATCCTTACCCTCCATCCTGGGGATCAATAACGTCTCCAGACATGGCCAAAGGTCCCCTGGCGGGAGAAAGGGTGGCAACCTGCCCTCAGGATGAGAACCGCGCTCCAGCTCGATCCTATTCTCCTTGACTATAGGATTTCTGATGACAGTGAGCAAGCCAACCTTCTCCCATAATCCTAATTCATAAATTCACCAAACCCTGAAACACACAAAATATGCATTAGTCAGAGTCGTTTTGCTGCACGACATTAAGGCAAAAAATCCTCGCCTCCAGACTAGATGGAGTAATCTCATGGCTTGGACAGGATTTATTTCTGGCTGAAATTCCACTGATAACCCAAGGCAAGTTATTAACCTGCTCAGCCTCGCCAGCAACACCTGAAGCCTGTTCCTCTCGGTAGACACCAAATGAGGTGTTTTAGCAAATTGAGTAAGGAGGCTGCATGCCCCTCCTCTTCACTGGGAAGAGCGCATTGGGAATCCAGCTCACAGCAATTTCTAGCTGAAACATCCTGGGATGTGTTGGAATGAAGTGGAAAGCAGTATGTGGAAGCTGAGTGAGGAGAGCGTGAGCCCCGTGCCTCTGACTCCCAGATGTGGGCGCTGCTGGACATGGAAGCAAAAGCCACCTCCACAAAGCCAGTGCTCCCTTCTGGGGTTAACACGCCTGCCATAGTGTGTGTGATGCCTGGGTTCAGGAGAGGTCAGATGGGAGCGAGAGACTAGGATCGAAGGGCAGGACAATGTTATAAACTGAATGTCTGTGTCCCCCCCAAAATCCATATGTTGACGCCCTGACTCCCAGTGTAACAGTATTTGGAGATGGGCCTTTGGGAGGTAATTGGGTTGAGGTGAGGCCAGGAGGGTGCCTCTGTTTAAGCCACCCAGGCTATGCCATCTTTTATAGGAGCCCGGACAGACTAAAACAGATGAGCAATCAAACCACCGACATTTAATCAGGAACTAAAAATAGACCAAAATATATTCTGAGTCTCTGGGACAACACTCAGGTCTCCACCAAACAGGAGAGTCGTTAGAATTCTGTGCACATGAGCAGGAGCCTGATGCTCACCAGCTGTGTGACCGCGGGCAGGTGTCTTTGTTGCTCTACTATTTCGTTTCCATGTTAGAGTCCGAGTAGTGGCACCTGCCTCGGAAAGGCGTTTTAAGAAGAGAATGGGATGTGAGAGAAATGGCAGCGAATAGCC